GCTATTTACTTGGTTTTTATTTCTAAGAACAAGTGTAATTAAACTTCTATTTGGTTTCATGCTGATATGTTTCAAGAAAATGTCTGCATTGGACTCGTAGACGTCAAGCACAAAAGCAAAGGTCGATTTCGGTCTTCAGAAAAGTCCTTTACATCAGAGGCGAAATTATTTATTTAACGCAACTTAGGAAAGTAAAGAACAATATAATGCCCCCTGTAAAAAGAGAAATTTTAGATGTAATGAAGCCATTAAAAAAAAAAATCGTTGAGACCCAGCTCGCCTCTAGGCTATAGCCTAGATAGCCTTGTCGAAAATCTGGCCATGAATTTAACTATTTTTGTACTATAAAAAAAAAATAACAATAATAATAAAATAGATTATTTTAATACGAAGAAACGAACTGTGTAAATAAATATCGCCAATTCTAATATTATATTCCCAAAAAAAAACGTTCAAGTTTTTGTATAGTGTTATTAATAGATATTTTAGATTTAGGTTAATTTTCAATGCAATACTAATACAGAGTCAAATGCGCTCGGTCCCATAAGGAACAATAATTGTAAACAAATGCGATTTTTAAAATAAAATAATCGACAATTTTACATTTTAATTATCAGGATTCATTTTTTATGTGTATAACATATTATTAGACAGTTGGCATAATTGACAATTGTATAAAACAAACAATTTGTTGATTTTGTTTATATTAAACAACATCAGTTTATATAAGTATTGCATTATCATTTGATCCAGTTCCCATTCGATAATTTTGAACCTGTTCTACGGCCGTGTTGGTGATGTCTTTCTGTTCTCTTTAGTGCATTATTTTGTAAGTCATGCACATTTTCCTCCTCGTGTTAATCATGTGTATAGTTTATTGTAAATAGTTTATAAAAATACTCATTGTAAAATATAATTTACAGATTGTATGTTTTTCAATAAAAGTCAAAAAGTATAAAAAAAAAAAAATGCATTTCATTTGTTTAATAAATGTCTGTCCTTAATATCAATACTATGAATATCTGGTTTCCAATAGGTAACTCATACATAACTCATTTTCCAAAACTACGCACTATTCCATTAATTTTCCCGCCAATAAACTACTGTTAATAATGTTATTCTGTAATCAGACTGTATCAGCGCTACAATTATGATCAATGATCTGTCATCTGAATATAAAATATTACTTGTAAATAGTAATTTGGTCGAATCATCGCCTGATACATCATAATTCACATGCATAGGTATAATTTTAAACAGGAGTCAGGACAACAACAATAGGTATTTATTGGCAACCTATTTAATGCTGCGTAAAGTCAGGAGGGAGACGGCTCGCAGGAGCTTAACTGCCCATTCAATGTCATATTAATAAGTCTCAAACTCACATACCTACATCAAACTTGGTGAAAACTGTTTTATTGTTGAAACAAATTGCAATAAATTACCATTTATAAACATACAATTTATCAGCTTCAGCGCAGAGTTGAGAAGATATTTTAGAATATCTCGTGGTATTGTTTATTTTAATTTTATAATTTGTTCTTATAACCTAATTTACTCAGTGACTAATAATTACACAATTTATACATAATTATATATTTTATTTTGAAAACGGCTTTAAGGAAAAATTACACTTTGACCGTAGTCTCAGTTTTTAGGTTGCTACGTGTGGCTTATACATACTACCCACAGATTCGCATCAAAGCGTTAATTTCAAAATGATGTTATCACTTTTAGTTATAATAATTTCTGTTTACCTGTGACCTCTACATCCCCACTATGCCCCGACCTCACTGTATAGGCTTTTTTTCTTTATTAAAACTAAAATTTCCAAAATAACTTGGCTAAATTTAAAAAAGGAAATAAACTAGGGACGAGTTAATATAAAATACAAATATCATATAATTTAAAGGATAAATAGTGTTTTTTCGAATTAGTCATATTTAATCTTTTTACTCACAACAAATTTTCCCGGTGACGAAACCTAGTTACTAACTAGTAGTTAGTAAACATAGCTGTGTCTCACTTAACATTTCGTTAAAATCCTTAACCTTCCGTTTGTCAGCCAATTTTCGGTCATGCTCAAATGTGTTGATGGCGTACATTTCTTACATGAGTCACAGTGTGGCTGTGACTAGGGTACATTTTTATCCCGGGTGAACCGTGACTAACGGTGGGTTAATAAAAAAATGCTCGACTACAGATTTTTGAGAAAATTGTATAGCACCCCTAAAATTTTGCACGAAAAAGCGAAAGAAAGAAAAAAAAATCCACCCCTTCTAGGAAAAAGTGTGTACGATAATTGTTTAGGTTGTCGACGTTTGTCGGCAGTTCTATGTCTTGAGAATATTTTATACAAATTTGAAACTAATTGGACTATTTTGAAAAAAGATATGGAGCGCCGTAATTTTAAGTTGAAAAAAATGTAAAATTTTCTCGATTTTGAAGGGGAAGGGATGAACTTTTTAAATTTTTGGTCTTCTAAAGTACATTACAGGTACAATTTCTGATCTTAAGAGCTCTGCTACACGAAGAAATCGGTTCAGCCACTTCAAAGATATCGTGGGTACAGACACAAAAAAAAAATAATAACACATCATTGTAAGTACAATACCTTGTAAATTATCACATCGAAGCTAAAAAAAAGGGGTTACTGAAACACTGCAATAGTCGCGTCATTTGGTGTAACACCGGTTGTCGCGCAGTATCTGTGGGATACACGATTAACTTTTTATAATTACCTGTAACTGACTTCAAGTGTTGGAGTGGATAAGTACACAAAACTTGAACAGCATATATATTGAATTAATCATTAGCAACATAACACATTTGCTTATACAATTAGGTATTTATATATCGTGTGTAACTGTGAGATACGACGCGACTATTGGAGTAAAATGACCTAGTCTAACCTAATTTTACCTTACCTAACCTAACGAAATATCATTTAAGAATAATATAAATGCAATTGGAAGACATCACTGTATACAAACGACATAAATAATGTATAATGTATATAAAAAGTTGTCTGTTTTGATGATACATCGCGTGGTATCTGTGAGGTACAGTGATGTCCTAAACCTAAAACCCAAATGATGGACAAATTTACCGGCCAACTGTCATCTACCTTATACCTAGTCTGAGGAATAGACAAATGGGTAAATTGATAACAGTGTGCGCGAATGTTTTATCACAAAAACAATAAGCCGTGTATCTAATAGATTTGGCGCGACTATTGCAGTCTTCATAACTGATGAGCACCTAATAGGATAAAAGTATAATCACGACTCATGTCATGATGCTGTTATGAACCGTATGAACTCAATACAAATTTAAATAAATATTGACTACGAATAATATTACTTATTACTTTATTACTGTAAATTATACATAGTACTTATTTATTACGGCCGTGAGTAATAGAAAATATGTATACAAAAATGAAAAATATGTATAAAAACAAATTGTTTATAGGAAATATGTATACATTTCGTTCATGTTTCTCAAATAAAAGAATTATTTTCAGTTCCTCATTTATTTTAATTTTAAAACAATGCAGTTCCAAGTTTAGCTCCAACAAAAATAACTCGTTCTAGGAATCACTTCTTTCTCATCTCTAAGTTTAGCCTAAAATTTAAGTATTGTTAAACAGCCTTAAAAAATACTAATTATGATCACAATTACAAGTGTTTGTTATAACTAATAACAAATTGTATACAATAAGTATTGTAATCTTTAAAAATGTTTTGATCTATTAATTATCGAAAAATGATTTTCGATTGATCAATTTAATTTGAACTGCAGTTAATAATTATCGAATTTTCGTTCCACTTGTTTCTTGCGTTCAACTGTTTGAAGTAAGTCAATATTGATCATTTGAAGTTTGAACTTAATAGTTGATATTAAATAAATACCTATTATTAAATTATTATTTTGACGTTATCTTGGATTAGCGATGAGAATGTGGGATTGCTCGTTTTTTACCTCGCAATTCGTACAAATAGATGCCAGATGCACCATTATATTATAATCGTATAACAGAATAATTATAGAAAATCAATATTAATAGTATATTAAATTTACTAATTAAATTATTAATATATCAATTATTAACATTATTAGTGGAATAATTTACATACTTCAAATATCTTTTATATTGTTTTAAAATTTTAAATATCAAATAAATCACCTTGTAGCTTAACAGGTCTTGAAGGCCAAACGCCTGATAGCGGTGACTCGCTAACCGGGAGGGATCGTCAGTCAAATAAATCTTAAATAGAAAAAAACTTAAATGATCATTTCAACTCCATTATAAAAGTGGACGTGAAATTAGAATATGTAATATTATAATTTTTTATTATTTTAAGACAAAATGTTGACCTTTTTTTAGAATAAAAAATCTATTTATGTATTAAATTCTGATTTTACATTATACCTATATAATTTCATGTAGAGTTTATTTTCACTGAATCTGAATCTGGATTCAACCCTATTTGCACATCTGTACCTTTAATGTACATCGAATAAAATAAAATAGATAATTATTGAACAAAATAAATATAATAGTAAATGTATTATGTGTGTAACGGCGGCGGACGGTTACGTAAAGCTTGTTTGTGTGGAAAATGCGAATGGAGTGGCGAGTCATACCGGTCATGGAGGAGGTAGTGGAGTGGCGGAAGGGAGGCGACCACTGCGCGTATAGAGTCACGGGTCGATTATATTATATCGTCGGCGTTGCGTGCCCCTCAACAACGTCGTCGTCGTCGGCGGCATACGTAGCGGGAGAGGTGCGGTGGTGGTGTCGGGGAGCGGTGCGGCCGTGTTCCTGTTTTGATGACGCAGAATTCCGCGGCCCGAACCCCACTCAGCCATCAGACGTCATTTGACGTGGCTTCTACGTAGCACTCGCTCGAGCCAGTCGGATCGCAGGACCAAGCACTCATACGACGTAACATTGTGACTGCTGGTAAGTAACGGGCTTACGGCGCGCACTACCTTGTCATTGTCTGTCTGTTGTCCCGCTGTCTGCGTACAATATTATTATTATTATATATACCATTACTATTACAAAGGCGAAAACAGTATTTTGTTTAATAATAACATCAATAGTATAATAAAAAATGTTTTACTTTTGATAGTATCTTGAAAAAAAAGAAAAATCTATTAAATAATAACCATGTCGGACGCGAATTATAATAATAATAATAATAATAATAACAATAACAATAATTGCTTGGATAATAATTATTTTAAACGCCGTTTTCCTTATCGATGTCGTCGCCACCGCAGTTTTCAGTGACGATCGCGTACCGCGACAATAGACTGTCGTGATTTTACCGCGAAAATCCAAACTGAGATATTATAGGATAATATTTTTAACGAACGTCATTACAATATTATGATGATTATGCTGGATTAGATTAGATTATGTTATTATTGTTTTTTTTCCTTAGTTCGACTCATTTACCCGCCTCGGTATCAATATAATGAAATAAAGGTTAAATTTTTATACATTGTGCAGTTTGCAAATTGTTATCATCGATTTGAAACTAAAATATTACAATACATACATCTAGAAAACGGACTTGCGAGGAACTGTTTCGAAAAAAAAACGCCATTTCGAATAATATATTAATTTATTACTTCCTTTATTTTGGCGGGACGTCCAAATCAAATTGCCCATAGACCGATAAAAAAAAAAAAATGATCGTCTAATGTTTAAAATTTACACGAAATCATCTTAAAAGAAAATCGTCTTAGTTGTGTACTATCGTATGTTACTGTAGTTGATCGTTTGCACACTGACCGTGATTACACAGATGCTCTGCCAGTCGTTGTCAGAAAGTGTTGAAAGTCTTATCGTAATACCTGCAAACGTTGTAAGATGTATTTTTTTAAAAATTATACGACTGCGCAGGGTACGGAAACGATCCATCGTGCTATGGACGGCATGGTAGAAGAAAATGCAACCAACGGTTCAGTCGATACGCTCGTGTCGCAGGGTTCCGGCAGTCCTATCGTTGTCACTTCGGTACATACTTTGAAACAGCTTTCTTAATCTAACAATGATAATAACAATTTTTTTTTATTTTAAATTATTGTAGGTGCATTCTGTCATTCAAGCAAACCAACAGTCGGTTATACAGACTGCAAACCCCGGCACTATGCTTACCAAAGGCAATGTCATTCTCTTAAGTAAACCTAACTCTGTCATTCAAACGACGCAAGGCAATCTACAAACTCTTCAGGTAGTAGTATATTTTTTAAGCATTTACACTTGACCGAGTTTCAACTTGGATTGCTTATAAATCTAAATCTATATTGTCATTTTTCACATGTTTATTATACTCAAAAGTTTAAACACCACTTTTTGCATGCCATTATGCTTTCTTTGTGATTTGAACGTGTGTATTGTTGTTAAATGTAAAATATAATTTCAAGGTCGTGGAAGCTGGGAGCGATGAAAGCTTATCTGCAAACGAAGATAGCCCAAAACGAAGTCGACTCGATGCTCTAACAAGGAGGCCATCATATCGCAAGATCTTAAATGATATTGCAGGTTATTTTTTTTTTTACTTAGTCTTAACAACTTATTAACAACATATTTATTGAAATTTAAAATTGTTTTAGGTGGTAAAGTCGAATCTTCGGGTTCAGATTGTGATTCAAACCTTGATAGTGAATTATCTTCAAATTCTCTCTCTGCTCATTATCAAACAGGTGAATAAAATGGTTTGTAGAATAAAATAAAATATAAATAATCACAGTTTGATCACACTATGAAATGTCAACCCTATTAATATCTTTTGAGTTAACTCTTAACTAGTGATGTACCGTGTACGATAGTGCACACATTTATTTTTCAAATACTGGTCACCGATCTTCATAATGTGTTTTTAAGGAAATCTCTTTAAAATGTAAAAGTTTGATTTATCTCACATCTGATTGTACTTGTACACTTAAAATAAATATAACTATGTCAATAATATTGTTGTAACTAATAAATCAAAGTCAATAATAATTGTTGTAATTAGTTTGACGTTTAGCATTAAAGTCATAGTGACAGATTCCAATAATGAAGCTACTTTAATACAAATATCTTTTATTTATTGTTAATTGACACTAACTATATATCCTGTATGGCTATGAAAATACATTAGTAACCACTCATATTAAAATAATAAATAATAAAAGAATTTCATTTATACGCCGATGATAAAAAATAAAAAACCTACTTATTTTCTCTGCTCCCGGGAATAACATTGAATCAAAATGTTATAGCATTACGGTCCGTATAATCACCATGACTTTTTTTTATGAGGTACAATTATATGTTTCATGTTTAATTAGTTTTATAATATCTGCCCTTAATAGATTTACTGTCAACATTTGTCAATAGTTCACTAAGGTTATTTTTGCTAATATTCCACCATTCATTTGTTAATGTTCATCGTAACAACATCAGAATTGAAAGAAGTTTCACTTCATCCACGCGTACTCGTTACACGCAATTTTTTTTAAATATAACAAACAGTTTTATACAACTTTCAAGTACCTACCCTTTTTATCTTCTTTTTAACTTCAACTATTACGTTCCCGTTAACTACTTATTTCCCTTAAATTAAATTTAGAAGTGTCAATTTTATTTTTATATTGAGCTCTTGTGCTCTTGGTTTGTGTTAAAGGCCAATACTAATTAAAATATTATCAGTTTTACCAGTACCTAATACCATCCAGTTAAATAGTCAAGGAGAAATGCACAATATGCCGACATTAACAATGTCGAATGCGACATCGACTGGTGGTACCATTTTACAGTACGCGAGTCAAGACGGACAATTTTTCGTGCCTGGTAATTGTATAAAATGATGTGTATATTATTATTTTTTATTCTTAATTGCTTGTTTACAATGTACTTGTAGTTGTCACCCAAGGAGGTTCCACTCTGAATTCAAACTCTTTGGTACCTGAAGACCAAGTAAAAAAACGTGAAATGAGGCTCTTAAAAAATAGGTTTGTAAAACAGTAATTACAACAAAAACCAACGGTATTAAAAACGAACAAATAATTTAATTTTTAGGGAGGCCGCAAGAGAATGTAGGCGGAAAAAGAAAGAGTATATCAAGTGTTTAGAAAACCGAGTATCCGTTTTGGAAAACCAAAATAAAGCTCTAATTGAAGAACTAAAAACTTTAAAAGAACTTTATTGCCAAACAAAGACTGAATAGAAAGGCTAATCTATAAGCATCCGTGTGTGTGTTGAAGAAAAATCATACAGGATTTGACAGTAATTGCATGCTTAACCGTGATATTTAAAATTTTTAAAAAAAATTCTTGTATGCTCATTTTGTACCAAAAATTGATATTTTAGTTTTTTTGACTATTTTTGGAATTAACTTACTATTATAAGTATGATTGAAAAGGTTTATTTTTTTGTTTTATAACTACTACAAAGAAATCTTAAGAATGTCAATTGGAATTTGATGTGGATGGCTAATTCCAACTGAACAGAATTTTTAGCCACAATGAATTTAAACATTTAAAACGCTGTTAGTGTTTGTTGAATATTAATTATTTATTATCGGCAATAATAGCAAAAATTGTGTTATAAAAAGTATTTTTAATTTAGCCATTCTAGTCACCGCACCCGTTGCAAATACGCTCTAAACGACTTACTCGTATCTTATATCATCTGTCAGTGCAGACATTTTTTTCCTCTTGTGATTTATCGACTGATTAGGACTGTTTATTGTGTTTCTATCGTATGAACTGGTCTTTAGTCGATAAAAAAGTCCTTTTGATTATTGACAAATTACCTTACTTTTTAACCGTATCTTCCTTAATATTACAATATTAAAATTTTTAAATATCATTATTATTTACATATTTAAAAAAGTATTTTTTTTATGTAGGTAATTTAATGGAAAATTTTTTGTTTTTAATTGACACATCAAAAAGATGATTAGTTACCTGTATAGTTCACAAGTATAAATAATAAATTATGTATATTATTATATGTAATATAATATATATTTTTATTCTACTGTGTTCGAAATAATAGATTTACTGTTAAAATTAAATTATTGTATTTTTATCGAAAGTGAAAGATGCTAAATAAATAAATATATATATATGTATTTTTTTAAATAATTTTCCAGCTATTTTCTCATTAAACATATTATTGTTATTGTTATTATTTTTTTTGGCAACAATAATTTTTTAAATTGCACTCATACTAAACCCTGAGTATAAATAATTATTAAACTACTGTTACTTATTATCAAAATAGTTAATTTTCATAAAAAGACCTATGTATGTTCATTTTAGTATGTATCCAAATACGAGCTTTATATAATTTGTCTTCACGTAATTTATGCTTATTTAATATTATTGGAATTGACTTTCATTAAGGCTTATCACTTGAAAAATAAAACCTTGTTTAAATTACTATTGTTACTGTTTAAAATGGAATAATGCATTTTGTTATTTGTATGGGATTTGGCGCCTCAAAATCTAGAAGTCCAATATTTCACAAATGCTGTATATGTACATAATTTATTTAGTTATGTTTTTATTTAATTATTTTATAAATTTTGTAAAATAAGCATGAATGTTGTAATTTTATAATGTATATTTGTTGTCGATTAAAGAAAAAAAATATTTATGAATAAATTATGTATTGTTAAATATTTTTGTGTATTTTCTAGTAATGTATGATAATAACAAACTATGTATCCCCAAGTGCCATTTCAATTAATAATATTTTAAAATGTTGAACTTAAAATGTATTTATTAATTTATTTAAATGGTAGAAGTTTTTTGTGGATAACTTAACTTTATTGATTTTGTGTATAAACAGCAGTTGACTTTCAGTCTGACCCTAAAAAGCTAATATTTTTTTTAATATATCAGATTTAAAACGATTTTCTTTTTTACAATAAAATAAAATTAAGACCTTATGGTCGAGTTTAATTTTTGTCATGTGATTAATAATAACTAGATCTAATATTCTTGAACATTTTATAATTTGAAGTATATTGAACTACAAGCTAAGCATTTTAATAGAAAATCTGCTCGTTTAATTAAAACATTTAATACAAACAAAGATTTTAGTTTTTTATAAAACCTGTATATTCGGATAATATTATATCATGTATATTAAAATATCAGGAAAGATCAGCAGACAACTGATAAATTTTATATTTAAGTCACTTCGGATGTTGTTGTATAAGACACACATTAGGTAATTTTTCTACAAAAACCATACCATCAATACATTTTTTTTAACCTTTAAATATTTAAACACGTTAAGCAGTAGTAGTGGTCGTAGATTGGGTCTCAGCTGCCGCTGGAGGAGTTTCTTTAATTCCAAGACAAGGAATTCGTTTGGACAATTCCATCCTGTTTAAAAAAAGTTAATAATTAATAATATTTTTTGTGTTTTGATCTTTTTCTAACAAACTTGCCTGTATTTAGGATGACTTATCGCGTACACATATGGGTCAAAGCAGGCCACGGTTTTGCAAAAAGTTGCCGGTATCATTGTAACACCAGGAGTTAACAATGACCTTAAATTAATAAAAAATACATTTTTTTAAAAATTATACATACTTATGTAATCTGGACAATTTTTATTTAAATAACAAATGCAAATACGAAATTTGAAGTAGATAATCGAATTAATTAGCTGATTTTATTACTTGTATTTAAATAATTTTTTCAATTTAAATTACAAATTGTTAAAAATAAAAATAGAAAATGTATTTACATAAATGTTTGTTCTTTAAATTCGTTTAAATAAAAAATATATTAAAGACTATTATTTGGATCTTTGTACAAATAAAAATTAAAAACTAGATTAGATTTAGATAGTAACGAACAATTTGTAATTTATAAATCGTTTGTTTAAAGAATATGTTAGACCACATGGTCAGTTCCATAACGCCCAAGTCGGGGTATAATTAGTATACTAGACAGAGAAAAAACATTTACTCCATCGCTCAGAAAGAGTGGACATTTTGAAGTCGTACTTAATAAAACAGCAGGACCGAACTTGGGTCGCCTAATAGTTTATAGCTTTAACCGTATATGGTTCTGCCGTTTACCCGGAACATATTATAAATTACCTACATTTTATAAATGGTATACAAGTGAAAAATAATTTAATGGCGTTATGTGTTAATTTAAAATCAAATACAGGATTTACCTATCTCCGAATGCTCCGATCAAAGCTACTACTGCATATGGGGTCCATGCGGCTACGAACAAGAAACAAATAGTAATAGCAGCTTTTGCGATCCTCACTTCGGCCGATTGAGCGTTTGCATCTTGGTTGCTCCGTAACGAATCAACGTTCATTTTTTTAGCCTAAAAAATAGTTACTTAAAAAAAACTTGGAAAATCGCACGTGAACGTAGTAAGTGGTTACGAGCTGTACAAACGTGAGATAAAGGTAATGATAATATCAAACCGAAATTACCTGTTCCCGGAGAGCTTTTTCGTGTCTGAACACATGGGAGACGATTTGCGAATAAAAATATATTATAAATGACATTGGTATACAGTAACAGACTACGAACATCACTCCAGTGAAAGTCCTGATTTCGTTTGTCGGTGTTAAATAGTCGAACGAACAAGTTGTTAAAAATCCCTCTAAAACATAATCAATCGTCGAGTCTTTTAAATGTTTGCACATTTATATTATAAAAATATAAACTTTATGCTTTACCGAAGAAATCCATAAAAATGTACCTATGTATTTTGGATTTTTTTTTCTCAAAAAAAATCTCAAATTTTGTTATACATTATTATTTCTTTACGTATAAAATATTGGATTTCCAGAATAAGATGAAGGACCCTCCTTAATTTCGAGGACCGACTAAAGCCGTGGTCACACGATTCGTTTATTCGCCGAATATTTGGTATTCGTCCTCTTCCCGCGGATTCGAGGTAAATGCGACACGAGTCAAAGACATGCCAAATGTTGTATGCTACACATTCGGCGAATAGACGAGTCGTGTGAACCCGGTTAGCTTAAATTTAAGTAGTGAATATGAAATTAATACTTTGTATTATTTCACTTGATTCTATGATTATAATTGCATTACATTTTTTTGCAAGTATATATATATATATATATATATATATATATATATAAACGTTTCAATATGTATACCACTGTAAATGTTAGGTTTGTAGTAACTGTTGTAAAAATCTATATCTTAAAAATCTATATTTTCCTATTAACTGGATAAAAAATGACGGCCCGTGAAGGTGCGATAAAACTGGTTGGCCACTCTCTTGTTATATAATATATTGTAGGCTTTTCAAGTTAAAGTTGACGCTGTTAACAGCTTACGTAAACAATAAACATAAACTAAATTGTTTAATTATTATATACAAACCGGGTACATAACGACTCCATGTTTCCGACAAAGGAAGGTAAATCCACGGAATGGCATAACACCATATGCAAATGACTATGAAAAACGCTTTACCATAGGTCATGCGTCCATCAAACGGTCTCGCTATAGTGCTATACAAATAATAAAAACAAATAATGTCATACAATGTCTATCGGAAATTCAAAAAAAGTAAAAGTAGAAATGTAAACGTTAAATTTGACGCAAACAAAATATTAATAATAATTATGTGAATTTTCTCTTAACTATGCTCGCTGTATTAGCGATATGAGTTTTACGGCCCATAGATTAGATTTAAGCACCCTCTCAAATTATTTAAAAGGTACATTATAATTTATAACTAACATTTATTTAAAATGGGGGGGGGGGCTGCAGCAGTAATCTATTTAGATTTCAGTTACGTTTGTGTTAACCAAAACAAAGCGGAAAGGTAATTTTTTTTATCATACCTAATTTACTATTCAGTAGCATTTAGTTTTCTACTCTAGGGAGTTTAAAACTTCGAGTTTTAACTTAATTCTCCTCACTAGATTAGGTATTCATTTATTTGGCAAGAACAAATATTAAAAATGATAATATTTATAATAGACATTATACTTATATCTATCATAAGCGATTGCAGCGTTTGTAGTCGCTGCTCCAATTCCGCTGATAGCTCCGATTGCTGCAAAAGCCTGGCAATGTACATGTTCCAAGTATCCAACAAAAAGTGTACTGTGTATGAAAAGTGGTGCTTTTGTTAACATCATAAAATCACAAAATGCCAAATTGACTACAAATATATTAGACGGAGTTCGTAATGGTTTAGCTCTGCAAATAACAAAAAAATATTGTAATTCATGAATCATAAATTACGATACTTGTTAATTACAATTTCTTTTAACAAAAAATTTTAATTTTAAGCTTAGAGGCAGGACTATCAAAATTCAGGTTCAAAATAAAAACGATGTACTAAAAATCAAACAACAAATAATAAAAATTAATATAAAATAAAAATTTTTTTTTTTTTATATAAGTTTAGTGAACAAGAAAATTGATGAAATTCAAATTGTTCAATGTTGAATTTTATAGATTTCCCTATGCAGTTTTAACTTTTTATGCAAATATTTTGAGTATTACATAACAAAATCGAATTTTTTTTTGATATCTTAACCCTATTTTATATGGAATTTAATTAATGATTAATTCATACTTTAGAGTAAAGTGTATTAAGTCAAAACATTTTGTCTGGTACAATTCAATTCATTCGTCAGAACGAGTACGGAGACAAATCAATTATTATTGTTAGTTGATATGAAATTAAGCATTAAAAAAAATATGTTATTATATTAAGTAAATTGTTCGTAGAACTAGAAGTTAAAACAATTAATGAAGACAAATTATTATATACGTCGGTAGTTTTTGAAATTTAAAATACTTGTTTAATATGTAGTATTGTAATTATTAAAATTTTCGTTTTGTTATAAAAATATATAATGGCTTATTAAGTACAATTACAGGCCAGTAACTTTAGTTTTTACTAAACTTGTTTAGCTTCGATGTGTAAAGTTGAACTTATAAGCACAACAAAAATCTTAATAGAAGAAAATGTGGATCCGACTTGCCAATAACAATAAATCTACTTCTAAAATAAATAATAAGTATAAGTAGCCTTAAGATATTAAGATATATTTTTATTTTAAACTGATTATTATGCAATTATATATTTTTATTAGTAACTGGTATTAATATTTAGAACTTAGTTAAAAGGTCAGTCCTAATATATTATTAACTTAGCGGTCTAAAAAAATAAAAATAAATATTATCGTTTAAATGATCGAATATCGATCCTAAATAAAAGGTTTGGCTCCTCTTATGTGGATGTTCATTGTTCGTTAAGGGGAACAGAATAAACAAAATTGTATACAAAGGAAGATTTATAGGCAGTCACTTTCCAAGGTGTCTCTTAAACCGATTTAAACAAATATGATCGTTATCTTTATGATTTACCATCTTTTGTCCCTGGGCTAATTAGCCGATTTTTAAACATGAGTTAGATATAGCTTTTACATTTTTTTACTTTTTATTATCTATTGTTTTTTAATTTTTATCCATCTATTGGTTATCTAATCAATTATTTAATAACTACATCATAAGTTAGCTCTACAGCACCAAGAAGTTGTCAGCTTTCCATAAATTAAAATACCCTTTAATTAGTTATTATACTTAAAATGCCTACTATATTAATGGTATTCATGTTAATACAATTTACTTACAAACTAAATATCCATAAGACCAAACCGTTTCCGATCAACGAGAAAAACATTAGAAATGCATAGAGAAATACTAATGAAATGTGGTAATAGGGATTTATATCCTCATATGCCAGCCAGTGTTCTGGTATATAAACGAGTTCTTCGGGTGGAACGTTCCATCCCAATGAGCGTGTCTCACCATCGCCGTCCGCAAAACTAAAATTTTAAATTATATCAATATATTTTGAAATGTAAAACACACGTAATTTGACAAACAAAATTCTAGAATTTTTTTTAATTTATTCATCAATTTGAATATATTAACACTCGTTAATATTAGTTGTCAATAAATGAATATTAATAAAAAACCGACCCAGTTATGTATTTTTAGGTGTACATAATAAACTCAATAAAACCGAATAAAATACACATTTTTGCGTAAATACTAAACATTCGCTGGGCTTAAAAAAAATTCTCGTTGGGTTTTGCCAATACTGGGTAATATATAGGTACTTATACATGTATATAGCGTACTTAAGTATGAGTGGCAAAGGTCTGGATACAGTTCGGTTGAAGTCCATTATTCTTGGTGGTGACATGTTGGCGGTTCCGGACAACTAACACACTACACTGTACGTCCGAAACAGGCACGCCATTTTTAAGCCGCACAAACTTTATACGCTCATATATCAATAAATAAATATATATATATATGTACATCACATATTATATATATATATAGGTACATACGTGTATCGAAAGGGCGCAATTCGGATTAAACGTTGCAACCTATCAAATGATAATCCTCGATAATTCACTGTGAGGACGCACCAAAAAGTGTGTTTTATTTATTTATCATGTTCTTTGAATAATGGAATTATTATTTATTTTTAAAAAAAGTTATAGAGCATCGTAATTTTAAGTTACATTTACAAATATATTTTTAAGAAATATATTTGTTGGGTGTTTCCCTCAAATTTGAAGGGGAAGGAGTGAATTTTTAAAATTGTTGTCTCATTCCATGCCAAATCGATGCCAAAATGATGTATGATTCTAAATGCCTCAAACTTATATATCTTATGCGAATAGTTCCCTAAAATCGAAAAAGCGAAGAAAAAATATTAACCCTTTTTATTTTGGACTAGGTGATGCTATATTCTGTAAAGTTATTGTAAAAAGACCTTAAGTTCACGACTACGTTACTTAATGACTAATTATGATATCGAAATGGAATTTTCACTGAACAATTTTAATTTAAGTGTTGTTTTTCATAATATCCGTGTAAACAATCTTTTCTTTTTAATTTTTAAGTAGTTAAAAATTGAAAAAAAATTCATGATTTTATACATTTCACTAAATTTGTATGCTTTTTATTTTGTCATCTAATTACACTTGATTTATAATTTTTTTTTGGAAAATGTTTTTTTTATATTGTTTAAGAAATTTCAAAGTTTGGAAGTTTACTAAAAAGTGCAATATTTAAGAGCCTATAACTTTTGAGGGCTTGAACAGAAATTTCTGAAATTTGTACAACACTTACTCATATATACATAAAACATCTGGTAAAAGTTTGGTAATGGAATTTTTCAAATTTTGTATTTTAAGACTACGCATAACATCTTTTTATTCAAGTTCTTAAATTTACAGAATATAGCATCGCTCAAGTCCAAAACAAATTTTTTTTTGCACTTTTTCGATTTTATGGTACTATTTGCATAGGATAAATAAGTTTGAGGCATTAAAAAAATCTACTCGCACACACATCAGGTGACTTGGCATGGAAAGAGCCTTTTAGGTACGATTTCTGATCTATAGAGTGTCTACACGAAGAAATCGGTTCGGCGGTTTAAAATATATCGTGGATTGGCACAAAAATAAAAACGCATCTTTGTAAAAATAATAGCTTCTCAGCTCTGTATCGAAGCTAAAATATAAACACAATAATGTTTATTATATATTTATATTAATTTTTAACATTTGAATGATAAAATAAAGTGTGTCTAAGTATTAAACATAAGACACGCTCAACAAATTTATAAAGTCAATTTACAGTAACCAAACCAAACTAAAAAGTATAACAATTTTTTAAAATTATATATAATTTCAAGAAATTTCCCATTTAAATTAATTGACAATAGGTACCATAAGATATAGTATATGAAATAGAACAAAAAACTCAATTTGGAATATAATTAGGTACTTATTTAAGCGTATGAACACACTGAAAATATGAACACAACACAAAAAGGTGTTTTATTTTAAACTTAGGATTGAAAAAATAACGAGATGTGCTAAATAAATTCTGAGGCCAGATTCAGATTTCAGAATCAGCGAAGAAAACTACCAAGTATAAATTTCTTTTGGTCGTTGTTTCAAAATTGTGCTGTACATAGTACCGTGATAATGATACAGATTTATACTTTAAAAATGTGTTACTAAAGTATATCGGAATAATTGTAATATTACACAAATCCAATGAATTAAATATTTAAAAGGCTTCTTATACACATTATACATTACCTGAGTATAATTTGATTGGATTTTTATTTCGTTATGGCTTCTGACATTAAAAAGTACAAAAACAGAAGCCATTGATTTCACTCTAGAAAATAATGATTCCTATAACCTATATGTATGTTACTTTATATCCAATCCGTCATTACATAGTACAGTTCTTTTTAGAGATACATAACATTGTTAGATAAATTATAAAACCGTCCTATTAGTGCTCATTATTGAGCCATAAAAAATTACTTTTACGTATTTTATAATATTTATATTATACATAATTTATTTCAATTACAAGCATACAATAAACTATTCTACGAATACTAAACAGTTCAATGTTTCTATCTCTTAATAATTTGATTGATCAATAACATCAGTATTATTAATACAATTATTGAAAATAAACACACTCTATATACACATTAAATGGTAAAATCATTTAGAAAAACTAGCTCTTATCTTAAAATTGTGAGCACCAAACTATGATTTATAATGTCGTAAGACTACAACGGCATTCTTGGAACAACTTCTGTAATTCATAAAGTGTGTTAAAAAATGTTATTAAATAATTACAAGTGTTGGTTCTTAAAAAGTAACATGTTTATTAGTTTACTTAATATTACACAAAAGAAAGGACACATAGTTTAATATATAAAATGTAATAAACAATAAAATGTATTTACTGCAGAGAATATAATAATTGAGAGGTAATTTACAATATATTAGTAGTTCATAAACTGATTTTCTTCTATATAATTTTTGCTTTCAAGAGTAACAATTTGATCACAGAATGTTCTATACTTATTTAAAAGTTCATCCCCAAGTGTCAATTTATGGTGTTTTAGGTTAACAATTAGACACTCAATAATATCTGTCGGTACAGTTTTGCCAAGTGAATAATTGTTTAAGTTGTTATCTTGATTAGCAATTTCAAAAAGTTCTAAAATCAAATCTGCACAGTTGATTAGTTCGCCGTAACTCAAATAAAGTTGCAATAACTCCCCTATGTTTCTTTCTTTATAGTTTTTGACAAGCCAACTAGGCAAAAACGCTTTATTCATTAACATTTCATCAGCGACATGAAAGTGTAGTGAGGTTTGATCTTTTTCTTCATATCTGTTTACTAATGTTTCTAAAAATTGCCAAGCAATCTTTCCACTATCTATACCGTTACCAATGACTTCGTTGTCGGCTAACCATAGCCAAGCTTTTTCGCATTCATTAGGATCAGTTAAGGTCAAGCAAGTTTTCACCAATTCCCGCAACGGGTAATACATTGGTAGGTTCCACATCTTCGATAAACGCATTACTTCTTTGTATTTATGTTTCATTATCAAAACGGATACAACACTTAGCACATCCATATCTGTTGTGGATTCTTCAATTTGTTGACGAGCACGAGCCAGCCAACAATATTTTTTCAAATCTTCTATTTGTATCAAGCCATTATTTTTGTTATATAAGTCGTCTGATTTGGAATGAAAAGGTAATTTTGTTGTAACAAACCATGCCTTTTCAGGACTCAAACTCTCTAAATACAAGAGAGACAATCTTAAGTACTGTTCTTGTGCCATACATGAGTCTGCTCTTAGGTACAATTCATAAAAAGTCGTAGCAAGTTTTTTGTACTTTCCATACTTGTCATGCATGGAACACAAAAACATGTAATACAGTTCAGCGTCAGCATTGGACAGAGAACGGGCTTTTTTCAATACTATATCTTCTACAGAGCTCTGTAGTCCAGAAAACTTGAAACTCAGCAATTTTTCCTTTTCTCCATTCTCTAACAATGTCAATACAAATGTGTGTAAACAGTTCAATTTTCTATCTTGATCTTTCAGGCATAAAATGTTGTTATAAGCGTCGCTATATGCTTTTATTTTCAGATTGTTGAGAAAAATATTTGAATGAAACATGGACGTCATACTTTCGTCGCCACTATGCATAGACATTTCTAGAACGTGTTTGCCAAGTTGTATGGCGTGCTCATAATAACTATGCTTTTCAAATAATGTAATAGTTTTGAGAAAATGGGAAATATCCTTATTAATGTCATTTTTAAGCACATCGAGTGCTTTATCTGGTTCATTGTTTAACATATATGACATAACTAATGTTTCATCCCATTTACTGTAATCTAGTAACTGAGACATACGCTGTATATAATTATAACGTCCCTCATCAAGTAAGAAATTCGCCAGTGTAGACCCGTTAATGAGCGGCCAGGTATATTCCAATAAATTATTCAGACAATCCATAAAAGGCGTTTTGGCCAAATTTGTATGATAGGTAAAAAACAGTTTTTCACATAGTTTAATGTCATATGAGAATACGGCTAAAATCCAGTAACTATATAAAAGAGTACGGGCGTCAATGACAAATTCACTAGTTTGGCCGTAACATCTGGTATTTAGTTCCATCAACGCAAAAAGCCGACAACATAAATCAAAGCGTGTTACGACCAGTTGGTGAAAACTATGAGACACAACACTAAGGCCTAATTTACTTTTAAAACTATTGTTGTTTATGGAAGTTTCAAATGTTTTCTCCACATCTGTATAAAGCATTATAATTAATGAACGAACTGTATCACCAATATTACGTCCATTTAAAAATAACGTGATGTCTGGATTACTGTTGTCAAACTTATAAGACTCTTTTATTAAATTAATTAAATTACTCGGAGTAATATTTATGTCTAAAAGTAATCCAGATTTGTCTTTTTCTTCCAACATCAATACTTTAATCAAGCGGTTTAATTCATTTTCTTGCATAGAAGTTTGAACTAAAAATACCTTGTCTTCAATAATATCGGTAGGACGTAGAAAACAGAAACTCGAATTGGTAATGACTACGAGTAAATTAGAAGACTGGCCAAGCCATATAAGACCGAGTGGAGCTAATCTTTTACGCCGATAATCCAAACAACTTTTATAGAAACTAGCACTGCACTGTTCAACAAGTTGCCACTGAGACTCGATATCCGTAGATTCATATTTATCCATTTCTTGAGAAACTTTGGTATCAATTGCATTGCTGATTTTAGAACGATAATCGGTAACTAATTCACAGTTGTCCGAAGTATCATAAACAGCTATAGCATTTTTTAAATCATTTTCTGTAAAAAATGTCGGAGAAGAAAATATTTTATCCAAGTATGTTTCTTTGGGGTTCGATGAATAGGAAAGAGGTTGTTCAAACGAAGTTGAATCTAATATACAATTTTTCCATTCGCCACTTCTCACATTAACAGATTTTATACACGCGATGTCTTTTCCTGTTCTCCAAATACACCATATATCATCTCCGTATAACGCCATATCGACTAGTCGATGGCTCATTGGCGAACAAACGACAAATTTTTGTTGAAGTTTGAACATACCGTGATCGGTGCACGGTTCTAAAACAACAAATTTTGAGCTTTCTGATAAGCTTAGGTAAATTGTTAGCAAAAGTTGGTCGTCAAAACGTTTGTGAATAATATGTGGTCTTGAACCATTTTCAGCCGAAGCTGCGTAATATTTTTTCATATCCATTATATAAATATAAACTGATTTATCAATAGACCAAACTTTTAATTCACAAGCTTCATCAAGAGAATAAACGTATATGTCTTGTTGGAACGGATGAACCGCCAAACTGTTAATAACTGGGTTTTCAACATGAGTCGAAAACACTTTTGTTATGTTCGACAGCATTCGTGGTACAGCGGATTCTTGACATATTTCTTTTAAAGTTGGAAGTCCTGAAATATATTCTAAGCGTATATAAAGCATTACGTTATTTTGCAACGCTATAATAAATATGGCGTCATTTTTTTGGTCTAAACAAGACGCAGCAGAATATGGATGACTGAGTTCAGCATTATACGAGTAAAATGTAGCTGGATCGTCGATCGCAGGGATATTAAAATTTGAAAATATAGATGCGTCCATTGATACATTTTCGTTTTGCGTTTCATTATTGTGTCGAACAGGACGTGAAAATGAAAACCTGTGACAACTACACGCAGTGGGTACTAGTAAAACAACAGAATCCGAAGTCTCGTACACTGAGATTCCGCTATCTAAAACTGGTGAATCACGAAAATGTATACGCACTTGATTTTCAGTTAAATTGGAATCCAAACTATGTTCTATCAACTCCAGTTTGTCATACAGAACTCGCCAAAATAGGAATCGATTAGGAATATCCTTAAAACGGTGTCCACCTGATCGAGGTAATGTACTTTCATCTCGTAGAGTCGTTGAAGCCCCTTCAGGATTTATTAGAATTTCTCGCCAACTATTTGACTGAAAGTGTTCAGTAACTACTTGTCTATAAACAGACGGTAGATAAAGATTATCGGTAGCCATTTCTCTAAAACAAAATTAAAAATAATATTAAAAAAAATAACAGTTTCAAACAGTATTAATCAAATATATGGTATTCGGTTTTTTTTTTTAAGAAAATTACTAAAATGGTAAAACCAAATTTAAAGATAAAAGTTTGAATATATTAACTATATTTTAAATTTATATACAAATTACCATTAATTGCAATTCGCAAGTATAATTGAGCAATACAAGAGAAGTAGTTTAAAACGGTACCAAAAATTAAAATCTGTCAACAATATTTAATTTATTTTTAATGCTTATAGTCAGGGTTTGGCATTATACATATACTTTTTTTTATCTAAATGAAGCAAACAAAATAAAATAATCGTTTATTAATTGATTATTTGTGGCAAAATTATGTGTTAATTATTCAACACAATTAATCTATATTTTAATCAAAAAAGCAAATATATGTTATATCAAAATAAAATAATTGATGATCATAAATTAAATATGTTGAGAGGTTAAAGTTTCTGTCACAATATCATACTTGATACACGATTCATGTTTAAGAGGGTTACATAGAGCGTTGGAGATGTAAGGCGCTGCATTACAGTGCTGTATTGTATATGTCTGTGGACCATCTATGTACATTGTTACTCTACGATTTTAACTATGATTAAGTAACGACATTTTAATATATCTTACTTATTTAAGACAAGACAAAAAAACATTAAAGAGGATGAACAAAAATATGCATTTTATTCTTATAATCTATTCTGTGTTTTAACTAACTGGTATCTTATTGCTATTATAAACAAAACCCAAAATTAACATACACTTACTTGAATAATAAAATGAGTTTTCCAATAACTTAATTAGACAAAGCAAAACTATTATTATGACTTAATTTTTAACTCTTTCAGCGTGTTTATATCTTAAGTCTTATCACTTGTGTAAATTTTAAACATTACCCGTTTTTTTAACTTTAACGTGAACAGTCCATTTAATTTAATGTGCATTAAGTAGCCGGTTTACCGATGATGGTTTACCTACCATAAAAGATATTTTATCATACGATAGCAGAGAACTTGTTAGACAGTTAATTTGTTAACGTATAACTGTTATCATCTGGTTAAAACCACTGAACAACTGCGGTTGCCACTATTGTTGGTTGTTTTTTTTATAGATTGCTGACTGTACATGCCACCAATAGAGAAGATTGAAGCAGCCACTTTCCGCCATCTTGGTGGGAATTAGAACCTTACCACGTGAGAATAATATATGTTTTTAACAATCACAGATATATATAATATTGATATAATAATATATACAGATGTATATAATATGCATTGATAACACGCATAAATCCCACCGGAATGGCGGATCGTCGGCTTCAATTCATAACTCGCTAGTTAGCAATCTAGTTTATTATATATATCTGTGATTCAAATTCAAAATAATAATAACCATAGATATACTTTAGAATAATAATTTTATTATTTTGTCAACCCGATATGCATTATACGTATAAACATAGTTACTTAAATTCAAGTCTTTGCTTTGTATTAAAATGCTTGTATGATCGTACCGTGATTAGTATATTTAATACACACCATATTATAGTTTATATATTTTTGATACAATTTATCTAATTTTATAAGCACTTGAGCTACTTAGTTTTACAGCATACATAAACTTGTTTATTAACTCCGTTTGTTAATTAACCTACATTTCAGTCTACCTCTATTATTCTTTTGTTTTAGAAATTCAAAATCCAGTAATTACTATATTTAAGATAAGAAATATAGGTTTATAAGTAGTATATTCATATCAAATCACTTTACAGTTTTTAATGGTTTAAAAGTAAATATTATAATTTTAATTTAATTTGATAGGTAATTAAATTGAGAGATCATAAATGTTTATTGCAAACAAGGTTTAATAAAAATATAAATAAAGTTAAAATGATAAAAAAAATTCTCTATTTAAGTTTTTCAGTGCATGTATATTCTTCAAGAAGTTATCATTTTCAAAAATAATAATCAAATAATTTATTATTATTATTTTAGTATTAACTATTGGTAAATATTTAGCTTCTCTGTTAATGGTATTTTTACAAAACGTTGAAATCAAAATAAATATGTAATTTTAATCTTTAATAATGTAAAATACAATCTTTATTTTTATCCTCTTAAAATTTAAAGTCCTTATATTTTTTGCTAGTTTTGGCCTCTTGTGCCACTTTTCGTTTTTGACCTTTCTTCTTTTCCGATTCTGTTCCATCGTCTTCACTGCCTTGTTGATCTTTCATCCTTTGCTCATATCTTGCAGCCATAGCTTCAACATCGCCGGCCAATTCCAACTCGGATGGGTCTAAACTGACTTCAACCTCACCAGGCTTATTCGTAACAGTAGTAGGAATGTCGTACATATGAGTGGATGCCATCATTGAGCCACGAACTGTATCCACCTTTTTTTCAGGTAAAACATGATAAAGTGGTTGTTGTTCACTAGTTTCCATTTCAGATTCAATCTTTCGTTTTCTTAGCTCAATGTATTCAGGGGTTTCATAACCACTCGGCAATCCAGACATAATACCAGAAGGTGTTGCCAAGCCTTCGGCAACTGGAGTAGCAATACCACTTGCATCAATAGCTACCTCTTCAGCTTCCTTTACCTCTTCTTCCTCTTCCTCTTCTTCACTTTCTTCTGCATCAGATTCTGAATCTGGTTCTCCCCACATAGATTTATCAATTTGCTCTTCAGCAACGAGGGATTCGTCATAATCAGATGGGGTACCAAATACGTTTCCATAAAGTGGTCGACCTCGTTCGTCAACAGGAGGTTTACCCCAACCACCAGCATGATAGCCAAAAGAACACCCTTCCGGAATTGGAGCGTTTAGACCTGGTATTTTGAGTGCCGGATAAGAAGGAGGTGGCCCATACCGCTGCATTGCAATAAGCCACGGCGGAGGAACTTTTTGAGCATTATGGCCCACTGGCATACCTAAAGCTGTTCGTAGTTCAGCACTCAAATCTCCCGGTTTCTTTTCTCTGAGTTTAGTCTCATATTCTTTACCTTCATAATATAAATCCCCATGTAAAGATAATCTCGGCTTTGTTTGTAATTTAAAGAATGCATCGTGTAATTTTTTATAATCTATATCAATTTTTCCCATTTTAGGCCGAACTCTTTCCCTCATTTTATTTTTTAAAGACTTCTCGTCTTCTTTTTCTTGATGAGCAGCTCTCATTTCCATGATACCAGTACGTTTAATAAAATCTGGCAAATCAAATGGAGGTTTTTCAATACCTCGTTTACCTTGTAAGTACTTCCGCTTGAAGCACCAATGGCGTGGCACAGGCACTGTATTACGGTGTGCTTTTAACTGTATCAAAAGATGAGGGTCTCTCGCGGTTACGTCATGCATTTCGACAACATCTGGTCGTGCTACTAGTTGTTTAAGTTCAGCCACACTTAAACGTGTTACTTTTTTAAATTGTCTTCTCGACAACTTATCTGGACCTTTTGGTTGTTGTTCTCCATCTTTATTTTTATCATCATCGTCATCATCATCATCTTCTTGTTCAAGAAGTTTAGGTACTTTTTTTAAGTCTAAATTAGGTACTGCAGCTTCCTGGGTACCAACTTGGTCTATAGGTTTTTTTTCTGGTTCTGGAATTTTAAAATTTTCAAATACTTTAGCATACTGTCTGTACATAGGTACAAGATTAAAAACGCTTAAAGTTTCCTGTATATATTCCACTTCAATATCCAAAGGCTGAGCTTTGTTCTCCTTGTCTGATGATGATGAAGCCGTATCCTTATCTTTTTGTTCATTTTTCAACTGTTTCTTCTTTTTTTTCTTATACTTTTTCTTTCTTCTTTTAGCTACTTTGCGATCTTTTGATGACAATTTAACCATTTGTTGTTCTTCTTCATCTTCGTCGTCATCATCATCATCATCATCATCATCATTTTCAACTATATTCTGCAAGTTTTCAACACCATTTTCAGGTATAAATTCAGCCTGTTCATCACTGGTTCCAACTTCTTTAGCTCTCACTTCTTTAAAATTCAAAGCTTGCTCAAGAGCTGGAGGAAGGGTTACCTCTTCACCAGGTGGGTTTAATATACCATCCTCATGATTTTCTGGTTCAAGCATTACGGAGGTTATTATCCAAATAACCTTATGAACTCAAAAATAGTTTGCTATCAGTCACAACTGTAACATCTAAAAATAAAAATCATTATTAAAACACAAATTCAATTAATGTTTTACCTAGATGTAAATTTTTAATTAAAATTTAAACTTAACAAAAATCTCTATGATGAAAAGAGTAAAAATCTTAATAGATTTAAGCTACTTAATTTCAAACCTTATAGTTTTAAAAAAAAAATACCTAACATTAAAAATGAATCTACTATGTTAGCAACATTGGCAACACTGGTCCGACAGTGATCAGGCCAGTGTCCAACTAACTAATCGAGTATTGTTGGTACTAATATATGATACTGTCCGTTACAATTTTTGTGTTGTATAATATACTGAGTGAAATTAACATTGTTTTACTGTTTGTATTTGTTACTAATATATTAATTTATTGCAAATATTTTCTAATAACTAATTTGTGGATATAATAAATAAAAAATTTAAGAATTTGTTTGTTTAACCTATTTCCGGCCAAGGATATAATTATTTTATGGTGCCCGTACGCACCATTGGCCAGAAATGGGTTAAATGCATTAGCTATAAAAAGAGCATAAACAACCCTTTAAATTGTTAATATGTTGTACCATTAGTGTCTATAGTATCTAACTATATTGATAAATAATATTTAAAATAATAATAATATTGCTACCAAAAATTATATTAATTAGCTAGAGAGAGATACTTATTTATATTTTACCATAACAATAACTCATACCTAGGTTTTATATTTATGATAAATAGCTATAAAGGCTCAATATTTAAATAACAATAAAATAACTTTAACAAAGGTCCAATTACATAAAATAAATTATGTAGGTACCTCTAATTTCTATATAATTGAACTGTACAAATACAAAAGTGTTATATGCAATATGACAAGACATGTGAATCTCAAAATGTATTATTACTTTTTAGTTATCATATTATATAAATGTATTAAATTGACAAGTAAATAGAAACTATTTATAATTTAAGAAAACAACTTTTTATATACGATTTGTATTTTAGAAATGAAGCTAAAATGCATAAATTTAACAATGTTTACCATTTTTTAGGTTTGCTGAAGACGTATAGGAATTAAGCCGGCGTTGTCAATTCTATAGAAATACACCAATTTTTTTCAACTCAATAAATATCAAATTATAGTTATTAAAAGTGTACAAATCAATTTATAGAAAGACTTAAATCAAAACTAGTACCTTTGATTTGCCTACTAAAATCTTGATGAGTAATAAGTAATAACTAATAATTGATAACCACATTTTTACAAACGAAGCAAAATTGTAATAGATAATAGTGTTTATGGTTAGCTAGCCCCACGCGTTAACCGGCACTGTTAAGTGGTAACCGGCGTTGGTACCATGCAATATTATAATTATTTCATTATCTCTCACATTTTCTCTCAAATGATAATAATTATCACATATTATCAGTTCTTGTTTAAAAACTATAAATTATACTAAATATTACTATTACAAAGTAATTTCATTGTTCAAAGAAAATTAATAATTATTTAGTGAACAAGCGAAAGTATTTAATAATTATTACTTTCCGTGATTATATTAAAAATCAGTATTTTTATTAATTAAATCTTTTGAAATATTTTTGTTGTAGATACTCGAAAAATGGTTAAAGTTAATATAGCAGCAGATGTACCTCTAATCCCATATGACTTAGGGTACGAAGAGACCTTATTACAATTAATTAAATCACTGGATTATTTAGATAAAGTTGTTGAATCTGTATATGACCACGTACGAGGTAATATAAGATCACAGAAATGTGAAATTGACAAATTGAATAATAAGTTGTCTACCATAACCAACAAAGTGCAACATTTGTCACAAATTAATAAATCAATTCAGGTTTATTCTAGTTCTAAATATCCTGCAACTCATTGTCATAAAGATTATAACTACAGTTATCATTTTGAAATTAAATCTGATGTTGTGGACCATATTGAAGTTGTTCATAATACGTATCAGCCAGCTAATCCAATTAATAAACTCAAATTTTACAATATCGATTTGCCAGTTAAAAGATCATTTAAAAACAAAGATATCATACACAGAAAAGGTATAGGCAGTATCCCAGATGACGCTAAGTATATAAATTCTTTATTATTATTTAACTCAAATGAAAATTTATATAAAAACTATAATCTATCTAAACCATTGGGCAATATAAACACGACATTAATTGATGAAAAAACTGATTATGTCAATAATTTAAATAGACCAGTTTTTACACTGCCTTTAAATGAAACTGAAAATCAGTTTAATTATTCTTATACTCCAATTTATGAAGAAATACCTTCCATTGATGTACCAGCCGATTTACCAGATTTGCCTGGAATCGCCGGTGATATAAATTATAGAGAAATCGATGTGACGACAGACTTGCCAGTAGTTTGTGAACCATCATCTGTAGTCGATCTTCCTACTTTTGATGAATTAGATAATTTGAAAAATGATGATACATCTGAAAGCTCTGTTTCTAACGTAGAAGAAAATATTGTTTCCAATCAAGAGCCCACAAACATTTTAGTAACTGATGAAAATAAAGAAGTTATTGATACTAAACCAAATAAAAACGAACAAAACCCCAGTGCAAACTATCATAATAATATTAACACACATAGCGTACTTATGGATGAAATAAGAAACGCTGGAGGAATGCAAAAAGCTAAGTTAAGACCTGTATTTGAAAGGGAAAAAAGTGATAATGAAGTACCACCCACTGAGGGTTTAATGGCTGATTTACATAAAAAATTAGCTATGCGTAGACAAGGGATATCCGGTACCAATAAACAAAATGACAGTGGTTTAGAAGGCGTAATTTATCGCATGGCCTCAAAAATGTTACCACTTGATCCAGAGTCTGAAAGTGAAGTTGATGAAAGCAATGACACGGAGGGCGATTGGGATGATTAGCTTTTGTAGTCTATTAAAATTTCTGAGCTATATTTTTAATTTTTTCTAAAGTAAATTAATTTTGTTATATCAAATAATAATGTAAAAGATATATTATTTATACTACTGTTATGGTGAGACTAATAAAAAAAAAATGTTTTGCAACTTGTGTTTATACGAGCAATCATTATTTAAAATCTTCAAACAAAAATATAAGAAAATACTTTAAAAGCTATGACATGATCAGACACCTAATACAAAAATTAGAAGTAAATTTACCCAGGTCTACACCTACCATGTGTGGCCAATGGCTTATTCCCTAGCGTAAAAACGGCACTTGGATAGAGCTAAAAAGACTCCCTTATTTTAGTAATAAATTATAGATTCCCTGCAGTACCATTAAGGAACGTGTATAACATACTTATTTGAAGGTAAAAAACTTCAAATGGTTATATTTTTGAAACATTTAAGTAATTTTTCCATGTTATTAAAAACCCTAATTTTTTAGAATAACATTTTAGTTTTAATTAATGACTAGATAATATTAATTTAACAATTATCATAAAACATAAAGCTAAGCCCGGCTGTAAAAAGAAACATTAACATTACTGGTTCAATACTGATTTGTAGACCAAGATTAACACTATTCAATTAATTGAAGTTTTTTTTTTTTTACATATAATCGCGAACTGGGGGTGGTACTGACGCTAGTCATTTTACCCCCAATGAACTTAAGCTAACGAATATTAAGCAGTTTCATACTATAAAATAAAAATACGAATTTATTTAACATAACACATTAAATTTGTACAAGAATAAAGTAATATCCTCATGTCATACATAAAATTAATAAATAATAATACACTTCTATAAATTACATTACATTATTAATAATATACATAATATGTAACATTTATTATGATAGATCCATTTTACAAGTTAATATCAAAACTATCACACTATTTTAAAAATATGCACATTATTAACATTATAATATTTTTTTCTTTGTATAAACATAATACAAAATAAAATTCTTAGTACCTTAATATTATATTACACCAGACAGTTAATATATTTTTAACATTCGTTTATGGTTTCTTTTTATATGTACTAATAACAAAAAAACTGATTAATTTATGGTAATTGATATATTATAGAGTGCTTGATGAAACCTAAAAAAATATATTGTAGTATTATAAGCTATACAAAAATTAGTTAGTTATATAGTAAAATACAATTATTTTAGTCTAAATGAAAAGAGTATAAGTAAATACAATAATAAATTTATAACAGACGACAATGTAATGTAGATTTTGAAAACCTTTAACAATGCTTATTATATATAAATAGAAACTTATTGAAACATGGTTAATTTTTATTAAATAATTATATTTAACTATATTTAGACTTATGGAAGGGGTAACATAAAATATTAAAAATAATCTGATTTTCATATATTAAAAATGTAGTTTGATTTCATAAAAAATACATATATTTTTTATGCCAATAGAAACATTTATTATTTTGTTAAATGTTATCAAGAAAGTTGTTCTAGTTGATCGTGAAATTCAGTAAATATTCTTTGAGTGTTTCTCGAGCCAGCGACTATTATCAATACTTCTTTTAATAGTTCATGTTTAGACATACCTAATACCGTCTGATTTTGTTTAAGTTTCGGATAACCATGAGAATTTCCTAATAGACTTTGGCATAAGTATCTTAAACTATCGCCATCTTCTCTTTCAGTTAAAAACGAAACCAATGCCAATAACCAATACTTGTACTCTTTATCAGAGCCCAAAGCTAGAGATGCGGCCATCTGTTGTTCCAAAAAAGCTTTTGAACACAGAGCACTCATTCCATCGCAATCGTTAAACTCCAAGTTGGATTTATACTTTGAATTATAAGATTGCATAACGCTTAACGGGTACTTTGAATTGTTTTTATTCAACTCATTGTGTTTATTTTTTTGAGCAGAGTTAGAATAAATCGGATCTCCACTGTCTCCAATCATCATCCAACATTTTGTCCTTGAAGAAAACATATAGGATTTGCCTGTAGTTAATGTTATTACTGACGTTCCGTTTTCAGTTAACATACATTTTTGTACATTAACTGGTTTATTTTTATTAGAACAGCCTAAAGTGTTAAGTTTTTCTTCGTACAAAATACATACTTGTTCACAAATGTCCCAAACGGATATCGTATTTTGCGTTATACATAATAAATGATTGTTGTTTGAACTTATTGAAGTTACAGGTGATGATAATACGTAAGGTGGACATATAGGGATACCATTTTTTGATTCTAATAAATGTATTGTAGCATTATGTAATGCCACAATTAATATTGACAAAGTTTTATTAGTACAGTATTGAACTACATTAGAATTGAATACTTTTTCCCAAATGACAGAGGCATTAGCATATACTTTTATCTTTGAAATCGGACCACTTTTCGTACTACATTTGTCATTTTCTACAATGACTTTATCGGTTCCTTGATTGGAAATAGTAAATCTTCGTTGTTGTGCGCTACATTGACTAAAATTGGGTTCAGATCTGAATAATGGAACATCTTCAGATTGTTCATCAACAACATTAAATTTTATTTTCTTGATAGGAAATACATTTGAATTTGATGTTTGTGTTTCTGATTTTTTTTTGGAATCATTTCTGTTAGGAGATATTTGCAATACTGATGTTGGTGGATTTTTTAGCACTGTTGAATCAATAATTTTCGGTGTTTGAGATTCTTGACTACTAAAATTACTACAACTGTTACTTATATTAGGTTCAATAATGTCATCAATCCTTTCAACGACTACTTGACTTTTGCTTTCACAGGACGATGAGAATGGTAAAACACTGATTTCTTCTGTATTATCTGGAGTTGGTGGTATGAAAATTGGAGTGATACGTCGACGACCGTCTGAGGTTCGGGTTTCAATCTGTTTTTTTAGTATTGGAGGTAATGGTTTAGGAGGTAATTTAATTTCTTTTATAAATGAACGTTCTTCTGTTGCAGTTTGAGACTGAACACCATTCATTTTCAAAATTGCCGGGTTTTCAATTAACACTGTGTTGTTCTGACGTTGAAACAGAGATACTCCGTACATTTTTTCGAATATGGAATTTTTTTCGTGGTCTGTTAGTGCTTTACCTATATCTTTTTGGTTGAACAAAAATATTGCTATGGAACCATCAAATGAACAAGCATAGAGGTTTAAACCGTTTTTTGACCAAGACAAGTCTAAAACGGGCCCTTGAAATAAACTTTCGAGAACTACAATAGGTCTACTAAGCCCAGTTAGCCAAACTGATACATTAGAATCTCTTGAGCCCAAAGCACACAAACACGTTTTAAGTATTTTCTTTCCGATCTTACGTTCCATTATTGAATTACTAAATCGCACGCAGTTTACAGCTTTTCTATGTCCTACATAATCTTTTTCATACGTCCAACCATCTCGTTCTATAACTTTAGCGACTGGACCTGTATTATTTGTCGCATGGGCTGATATTAAATATTGGCCATCGGGAGACCAACTATGTCTTAACACGGCTGTATTTCCACCACAATCTTGAAAAGGTGTAGTGACAATAGTATCCGTTTGCCAGTCAGATGTTCTCCATATTCTCAATGATTTATCATCAGACTGTGATGAAAGATATTTTCCAATCGGATCCCATGATACACCTTTAACCAGTCCAGTATGACCATTGAGTACTTTATGAACGGTAGGAAATTTTTGAGCATCCCATATAATAATTGTATTATCAACTGAACACGAGGCTAAATATGTATCGTGAGGCGACCAAGCCAGGTCAAGAATGTCACCTGAATGTGATCGTAATGTAAACATACATTTCCATGTTTCAATGTTTACAATATTTTTGGTACCGAATACGACATTTCCACTATTAGGATACTTAGTCAACGACCATATCATAATAATTTTATCATCTCCGCCAGAAGCTAAATATTTACCAGATGAGCTCCAACGAACACAGTTCACACAAGCTAAATGACTGTCCACCTAAGTATAATAAAATATTTCATTTAAAAAAAACCAGTGCAGTTCAAAAGTATATATTTGTTCAAATAAACATACTTGGCACAGAATTTTTGGCACATTTTCATCATTTTCTTTGTTTTCATCTAATACTGCAGCAGTATTCCACAACATTACTAAACCAGAGTCTCTTCCTTGTCCCCCGGTAGCTAACCGAGTACCGTCCGGATGAATATCGATAGAAAATATCGGCATACCGTTGTGAGAAATCCATGATGGTTTAAGAATAATCATTGTATATCACAATTTTAACTATATTAATTTACATATAATCAGTCGAAATAATAACCAATTGTAATTATTTACTTAAGTCTAATTTATAAATATAAAATATTTTTTACCGGGAATAATTTTTTATATTTTAGTTATTCGTTTCTATCAATATGTTTACCTGTTAATATAACGTTTCTAACTTCAGCAACTGGAACGTTTTATCAAAAATATTTTTTTGGCGCCAAATTAGTAATAAGTCGAAGTTCAAAAATCAAAACTACCTTAAATGAATAATATTGATTTCCATGTCGTTACCGCATCTCATATAAAAACTACTTTCTAGGTTGTCTTAAATATTTATAAGCTCATCCCTAGGAACCCCACTCCCTCTTTTTCACTTTTTTCAACGTACCTATATCTGCAGAGTTGGGCTTAGTATTTAAGATGCTATAATTGAATTATTTAAGTAATTTGTACCGAATTACAAATTGGTATATATTTTCACTAAAAAGTAATAATATAGTTTTAATCAATCATAATAGTTGATAATTTAGGACACAACCTATGTAAGACTATTAATGAACTTTTTCTCACTCTGTCGTTATCAGATGATAACCTACTGCCAGTATAGCGATATTAGAATAATTTCTAAATAGTTTTTGATTCCAAATTCCAAGTATCTACTTGTTTAACCCTAACCTTATTTTACCCTTTTATTGCTAACCATTTGTCGATTTGACGAAGTGTACATGAATAAATAAAATTAATTTGATTGTTTTCTTTTCTTAATATAAAATAAATATAAAAATATAACTAAATAATAAGTATAATATATTTTGTGTTATTTGAAATCATCCCTGATAAATTAACCTTCGTCGATGTAGGTTTTGCGCAATCGAAGGTCGACGACTAACTGATATAAATAGGACTTTTCATTTTATCATTAAATATACTCAACAATCTGTACAAGAGATAGATGCCAGATGGAGAGTAGAAGCTCACATGACAAACATGCTAAAATAGTCAGTTTAAAATTATCAGTATTCGTACATCAATTTGTTGACATTTTACCACGGGTCAAATTATTATTGTATACTCGTTAGCAAACAATCTAATATTTTTAACATAATTTTTATTTTAATAATATCTTCAATTAAAATGTATACGTGCTGTTTGGCACTATATGTAAAATATAGTGGTATTTTTCACTTTCCTACTTAGTATGTTATTTGTTTATTTAAAAAGTGAAACTTTTTTTTTACATTTACTTTTGGTAGAATATTAAAAAAGTTGTTTTGGCAATTGTGTTGCAGTGTTTAATTAAAATACTTCATAAGTCTGAAATTGAATCAATGTGATCAGAAAAAAACATGTCACTAGTTTACCAATATTTTATCTTTATGAGAACAATTTATTTTTGTAAGTTGTAGACAATTTTTTTTTTAAAAATAAAATAACATTTTTGACCTTGCATTGTTTAAATGCAAAATTCAATTTATATTTTAATGTGAGTAGAATTTATGTGGTTTTACATGCATTAATTGTACTTTAAATTATTTTTACAAAAACCGATTACAATAGACATTCTTATAATATGTTGTTAAGTATAAATCATTTATCATTTTGTACAACCTAACCTAACATTGATTTGTAATTTTGTACAAATTATTAATAAATAAAATATAAATTAACACAAACTAGATATTACACAAGAATAAAATTGTAATTCTTTAACAAATGGAATATTTATTGGTTAAAAAAACGACAATAATTTATTAACTACAGTTACCTATAAGCCTTAATAAACTTAAAAGACACTATACAGCAGCCTAGAGATATTTGACAAAAATATTACAATAAAAATTTTAAATATTATTTGAATTAAAATCATATATAAAAACAATTTTTTTTATTTATAAAATAACAAATGCACCATATTAACTTTAAAATTTCATCTAATAATAGTAATACATATATATATGTATGTGTGTGGTAAGGAATGTATTATTCATGATGGTGATGTAGACGTTTTCCGTTATCAAAACTAGACAATCGTGGATAATTAACAAATTCCTTGCCGTAGTAAAATATTAGTGACAATACACAAATTACCATTGTACCCCAGAAAAGTAGGAAAAGGTATGTTCCTGTATTGTACTCTGCAAGCAATAAATATAGAAATATTTCAATATAATAAATTTACACTTATATTGTTAAACAGACAACAGTAATAAGTGTACTTTATAGTTATAAGCCTAACACTTAATAGTTTACACTCGATTGACTTGAGTAAAATAATTACATTTTTTAAAATTATTTTTAGTTACAATCTAAATTAAATTTATAATAAAAATGTATTATTGAAAAGTGTCTTAGCATTTTACTTGTTATCTAATATAGAAGTTGCATAAAAAACGAATTTTTTATCAATACAGTTAAAAAAATAAAAGACAAACCGAATAAAAAAATATTAATTGCTTACTTAATCTTTACAACGCTAACCGAAGCTTCTCACCATTAACTTTACTATGGTTAGCAGCTAGTATGCAAAGATAGCCAAAAAGACATAGCAGAATAAAAATAAATACAATTTTAAAAAAAAAACTTAATATATTTAGATCACTCCAAAAATTAATATCTTGACGCGGTTTGCAACTCATTTATACTTAATAATGTATTGATAAAAAAAGTATATTTTACGTAACTTGCCTATTATTTCTTAGAATATTTTATAAAAATTTGTTTTTAATTGCCAGAGAACCGCTGAAAGAGTAGCAAACATCTGCTAGTTTATTTTTCTCAAACTCTTACACATTTCACTTAAATATAATACTTTTTAAGAAACATCACTTAAAAAGTATTAATTTTTAATTAATTATTATTACACAAACCTGATGTAAACACTGCATTGGCCATGAACATCGCAAGTGCAATCATTAAAATAATTGGATACTAAAATAGAAGAAAATTATTTTAGTAATTATGACATTTTTTTTTTCTATCTTATCTGGGTGTTTTATTAATACTAACGACACTAATTTTCAATATTTACAATTAACTGTTTTTATTCTGTAAACTTTATTTTCATTTTTTCAAGTTGAATACAAATATCACTTTTGGTGTACAGAAAATAATAGAGTTGGTAAAATGAACACAAACTCAAAAGACTTAGCTAGTCTTTTATTTGTTTAGCCCATCAAATGTTTGCTAAAGTAATTATCCAAGAATATAGGTTAGATTGGGTTACGCAAACCCAAATAAACTTGAGTCAGTCTTTTTTTTAAACAAATACTATTTAGTTATTGCTAACTTTGGAAAATAACAAGTGCATACAGATTAAAGTTCATTGAGTATTTTATTTTAATAAAATGTGGAAGTTGAGATTAAAAAAAGATTTTCATACAGAAATTGTAAATGGTAAAATGTAGAATGATTTTTACCTAAAGGTTTCCAAAAAGAAAACTTCAATCCCATTTCATTAGTGCCGTACACTCAATAATTCACCCCAAAAAATATATCAACTATTAATTACCATAAAGTATTTTAATGCAGGTTTGACTTCTAACGGACATGGTAATGATGCACTCTCTTCTGTATTTACTTTATAACTTCCCAAAACAAGATCAATACAATCCTGTTAAAAGAAAATAGTTAACTCAGATACTTAACTTATGACTACGCCCATTACAAAATAAGTAGGTATGTGAGAAACTAGTATTATCAATTTTGACCAAGCCGAGAAAACCGACTACCATACTGTACAATATTGTAATTTAAGACAAAAGTTGCTGACATACCTACTTGTCTTGCATACATAGAAAGTTAGTACACACACAGTGAATATCCTATAACAACACCACTGATAACTAAAAACCTAATTTTTCTAAAAAGAAATTAAAAAAAGTTAATGTTCTTTTTACTTGTCGCACACCGTCTCGTAGATTATTCTTATAGTAGCGCATTAAAGAATTTTTTAAATCCCTCAACATGCCATTATAAGTTCTTTTGCCAGTTCGGGTAAAATCAGTTTTTAGTGCTCCCGTGCCTGAATATTGAATCGATATAGTATCGGCATGATCCGCCCAGACCGTTTTGAATAATGCCTCAAAATCAAACTGGTCTTCTACTTTTTGTCCTAAGCTTAATATATCCAATTTCTGAAATGAAGTATTAATGAACAATTAAAAAAAATGCCTATATAATAAATTATTAATATTAAAATTCACCAAACAAAATATATATTTTGTTACATACCTGTAACATAATTGTTAACATTCTTCGGGCTAATAAACTTTGTACGACATTTGTTCGGTCCAGACAATCGATACAGTTTGTCCTAAATATTCCTTTTTGTGATATTAACAGTTTTCCGTCAGACCCGAGAAGAAAATATTTTAAATTATCCTGTTCATGCGCTACTCTGTTAACCAGAATAGAAAGTCTATCCCATCTCATTTTTTTACATTCGGAATGAAAATCAAAAGCTTCGTATTTAATATTATTATTATCTATCATATTAACAATGTCATGGTATTTACGTTCTAATTCTTGTTCGGCACCTCTGTGGTCAATCTAATTTATATAAGTAAAAAATACACGTTTAATGGATTATGAATACGAAAACAATAAATATATTCATTTAAACTACCAAGTTAATTAAAATTTGTTGCCCATAAAACGATATCTGTTCATTAAAATGTTGAGTAGCAGCATCAAAATGATTTTCATTTGAAGATATCTGTACAACGGGTTTATACTTCAGAGTTGGATATTGAGACCAAAACAAAGGTATAGAGCCACGGGTCTAAAAATTAAAATGTCTAATTTTAACATATTATTTAAATTAATGGTATGAAAATAAAGTAACTACTTGAACATAAGAACTTCGGGTATTGTTGTATTCTACAATCATTTCAGTTTCAACAAAATTTGCTACGTTTCCATTGTGATCTATACCACGCTTCAGCAACCTAGGGCCATGTCTATATCGGGATCGTCTTGAAACGAGAGTCCAAATAAAAGGTTTTCCATTTAATTTGCATTCATTTATAGCAATGACTTGGAACAAAAAAGAAACATTTTTTTTTAAAAAGCAAGTTTACTTTGTTAGCAAAATTACAGCACGTTTTTTATTTGCTAAACGAAAAACATCAATTCAGCTCTTCTTTATCCAAGGTGTAGTGGTGTTTCTAATACAAAGTATTGACTAGTATTTAATAGATTAAGTACCTACATATATCTATAATATTCATTATCTATTCATTTACTTTTCAATACTCATTATTTTATACATATATTTTACAATCTGATCAACTTACATCCATGAATTACCGAAACGCAGAATTCCGAGTTTTCTTTACAAAAATTTGTCAACAAATAATGGTTCCATAAAAATCTGATATCGGCTCTCTCATACATTGGCGTCTGAAAACAATTAAATTGACTAAAAAATAGGAGTGGTATACTCATGAAAAGTTAAAGGGAAAAAGTGCTCTTTTCCACAAAAACAGTCATAAATCAAATAGGTGTAAGCCAAGGCAAGTATTGGCCAATTCGAGTCCAGCCAGACCATTATCTTGGCTTTTAAATGTTGCGAGTCTCGAGCCACTCAGCTAACTCTGTGCTGTTGAATAACAGCTTAACACAGTAGATTGAACTAATAGTATAATTTATGAAATATAAAATTGTTGACCTTGGTCAGACTAGGTCAAGAAGTCAAGTGCTTATTGAAATTAAATATCCCTTACATCTAAAAATGATGGCGATGTATTATATAACCTCTGCATTGTATGTGTTAAATCGTATGTATAGGAGAAATAGTAATATGGCGTGCTGAATGTTTGTTTAACCATATTCATGTATTCCAAATCCATTTGTACCTGGTAAAAATTTTAATTATTTATAGTTAATAGTAAATTATTCATAATTTATAAATAACTCCCAAAAAGTTTAATACTTGTGTGTCATTTAAATGCAACTTTGTTTTGGGTAATGGTATCAAATCAATGTCTCTCAACTGCCAAATATCATGACCACTTATTTTACCCAAAAGTTGTTTTTCTTTAATTATAATAATATATGGTCCAACTAAAAGCCGTACGATACCTAATATCCCAGCAATTTTCTGATGCCCACATTTACTCGGTATTTGTCCTTTGTTTACTATAAATAAAAATATTATCTTACAAATTACCTATTTAAACCATTTATGTTATACAAATATCTAAACAATTATAAGAATAATTGTTTATTGATTAATTCGTTGATAATGAAGGCAGGATAAAACGGTAGTTACTTTTTTTGTAAATTGTTAATCATAATTAGTTACCTTGTTTTTGACAAGTGAAGTCTACACGGTCAAAACTTAGTACTACATTAGTATTTTGCACTGGCTCTATAAAAATGTTGTCCGGACAGATATACCTAAAAACAAAATTTCAAACATCAAAACTTCTTCTTTGCGAAAAAAATATGTACTTTTGTGACATTATGAAATGCTTACATATTAAAATTCTCATAGACAAACACATCTTGTGAGTTTTTAGCACCTATTCGAGTAAAATCCATTTTAATATTTTATACTTCGTAAAAATGTAAGTATAAACATAAAAATTGCATAAAATAAAATCGTGGGATCAATTATATCGGATATAATAATTTAACGAACAAATGTTTACGTCCATAAGTCAATCAATACATCAATATAGTTTTAACAAACTATATTATTTAAAGTTAATGTTTATCGTGTTGCCACTGAAAAATAAAAGTTAATTACAACACGAAGTAGATTTTATTAGTATTTTTTTTTTATCAAACCAGGCTATCATTTATCTATTATCACTAGGATTGTCCTTGAGGCAGTCGTGGTAGAAGGTGTAGTAAAAAAAAATCACGGTATCTTATTGTAAGTTCTAATTTCTTTGACAATTACCAAACAGGCACAAGTGTAGATAGAATTGCCACAAGTAACTCCCGCGACTAAGAAATAACATAATCAAGTATATAAACATTGTTCTTTTTAGTTTTAGTTTTAGTTAGTTAACTGGTGGACCCAGAATGGGCCCATGCACTCAGACCTACAGGTCCATTGTGCACACCCTCTCACCGAAGTCCTGTTTCACATAGTTTGTCATGCCCATGTCCTGCTTAGTTTAAAAAAAAAAAAAAACATTGTTCTTACTTAATTGAGAATTTCATACTTACACTTACCAATTCCTACACCTCAGACGTCTTTAGGATCCCAAGGGCGTTCATTTAAAAAAAAAATCTGGAGAAGGAATTTATAGTGTTAGTTAATATATATTTATTTTATTAATAGGAAATACTATACATCAAAATTGCCTTTGTTTCCTAGTCTTGGGAGTTTTTCTTAGCATTTCCCAATTTTTTTTATTAATTGTAAAAAACTTACAAAATAATAATGAGAATTTCATTTTGATTAAAAATAAAATCAAAAAACATTAAATAAATCTCAACTCTCACGGCTAGTTTTGGATTCAACAAATTATAAAACGAATAAAACGTACAGATCACGTCAAAAGTTGCATTAAACGTTGTACTTATGTAGGTAATCACTTTGATTTTAAAATCAACTTATTGTGCAAAAAATATCTTTGGCCAGGTTCGGTTACAGCATAAAAGTGCATGTTTGTTTTATGTTCTAAATCGTATTGTACAATATTATTTTATTAATAATAAATATACTTCCCCCTTCACATTAAAAACCTAAAATGACACTCATGTTATCAATATGGAATATCTTAGATTTTGTACATTTTTTAATCATCTATAGTTAATAGCAGTCTATATGGCTTAAAAGTAATTTGTAACTGAAGACTACATTTAAAACAGTAATTAATGACCAATTACCTATTACTCAATTTATTCAAATACTGTTGACCCTTAAGCCTTGGGTAGGTATAAAAGTAATATTTACGTGGACAAGAAGATAAATACAAACAATATTTAAATTATAGTGTAGTAGACGGAATATTATAGAAAATTCAAATTTTGTAATTAACTTTCACCAAAAAAAAAATTGACAGGGGGTAGTGTTAATAGCATTATTTGTTCTTTCCGTTGAAATTTAATTGTAAACTCCTAACATCTGAAGTATAAATTGGCCATTGAAAAAGAAAATAATATTTGAGTACGTGGATCAGCACCATATTGCGTGGGAGGGAAAAACAAATTTAATAGGTACATTCAAGTAAATACCGTTGGAATAATATATTGTAACCACTTTCTCCAAGCTCAAAATATGGTCGACATAAGAAACCAAACAACGGCCATGGTTAGAGTTTCAAAATACTCATGCCTTTCTCTTACCATATGTTCGTTTATATACTTTAATAACATGCAACATACAGCTGTAGTCGGTACTTATTAAATTAGTAACATGAATTGTATATTTTACTTTAATATTTAAAATAAAATTTTGAAGAAACATATTTAGTAACCAAACTATAGGTAAAATTATGTACAGTTTCAGTACAGCGAAGTTATATATTTTTAGAAGATCTGATAGATGAATTTAGATAAATTCTCGAAACAGCCAAATTTCACAATTATTTTAGCTCACTACGTGGATTAGACGGAAATAAAAAAGTAATTTAAATGCATTTAAATTATTAGATATAAACAATTACAATTAAAAACAATCTTACTTTAATTTGTACAATAATGTGTTTATCACATATTTTCAGTGTACTGTGAAGTAAGTACTACAAGTATTTAAATTATACATAAGAAGTATAAATTCGACAATTATATTTAAATTTTAGTAGATAGTCAAAAACACTAGTAATGGTTAAGAGGACGCAGAGAACATACCTCAGATTTCAGAAGTAACTGTTTTAATAACATAAAGTATATCTAAATAAAATTAAGATTGACCAGTCCATGAACTGTGCCCTTTATAAAAAGACTATAAAAGTCTTTTTCACGAAATGGGCACTTTTGAGACAATTTCGTGAATTGGACACACAAAATGACATTTCAAGAAATGGGTTATTTTACAGATTTTATTTAAACAAATTTAAGTTTAGTTTTAAAATATTTAGGGTGTCGCGAGATTTTTGGATATGTAAATGCGGTATTTAAAATATTATTTTTGCACATTAAAGACGTTTTGAAAGCTATTCACTGCATTTGAAATATTTTACTCGCCAACAATTCTAAACACATAAAAAATTCACACATATTACGTATTCGTTCACGCTTTGAAAATAATATAAATTATAATAATTGTATACAGCGGTCGTGAATTGTGTCTTTCTGTTACACTCTCAAAATGCGGCTATTGTGGTTTTGAAAAATAATTTAAACGTATTAATAATATTCGTGTAATATGTGCAATTGCAGTAAGTAGTAGACTAGTAGTAGTAGACAGTAGTTATATACCTACATTACACTTGATGCTTTTCGTAGGCGCCACATAAAAACTATTGATTTTATTTTTGTTGCTAGGACTCGTTTGGACCGGAACCACAAAGCTTAGTCATAGGTTGACTTGTAAAACGATGACTCACCCTGCGACATAAACAGTCCCGACCGCTGTCTACTTGTGTTGGTTAAATAATAATATCGCATGCGGCATGCTACCTTTATACGAACACGATTAGAGATAATGTTATAAAGTTCACCCAAAGTGAAGTATAACATGTTTGAAACGCGAATTGTGTTCTACAAACTATGACACGTATATGTATGATGTTTTGATTATGCATATGTTATACCTAATATGTAGCTTACCAAACATAATATTTAGTGTGGTCTAGTTCCTATTTCTGTATTTGAGTACATACATTATATTCTTAAGTATCAAATGTAGCTAGCTTTTTAAAAAATACTTTTTAAAATAGGTTTTACAGATAGATTGACTATGAGATATTTTATTAAAAATAAATGCCAGAATAAATGCTAATTGTTTAATAATATTTAATTTTTAATGAAATGATAAAATTATACTTGAAAATTATTTTTGCATAATAAAGTACTTAATAAAAAATAAATAAATCTAGAATAATACTTTTAATTGTATGAGTAGTGAATACTATTTTTAAAATGTATTTTAAAGCACTACTAAAACACATTTTAAAAGTATTTTTTACAATACTGCACAAATATTGTATATTTATGTAATATTTTTTTTATTCCAAAAACAAGTCTAATCAATATGTTTCTTAAGTATAATAAATCAATAACTAGACAAGTAGAATTATCATATAAAAACTATACCTTCAGGTTTCATATATATATAGAAATTAGATATCTAGGCAGTTTAGCTTTATTCAAAATAAAGATAATAAGGTTAGAATAATGTTTGTTACTCTCAAATTTTGCCTATGACTCAACAAAAAAATAAAACGTCGTATTCATAATCATTAGAGTAAAGCTGCTGTTTTTAATTATTTTGTTATATAATTTGTACAATAAGTTATAGCATTTATTTTAAAACCAATGGTTATGGTTTTCACTGTTCGTCAAATTTAAATTCAGTAGAACGTGTCGCGGGTGTCCTTGTAAGGAGTTACAAGAGAAGGAGAATATTAAGTATTAAATTTATGAAGAGCAAACAATAAAAAAACATATTATTTTAGATAGATTTTAATAGCATACAATGTTTTATACATTGTAATCTTTTTTTTGTTTCTTTTAGACAAGGTTGTCATTTTTATTAGTGTCCAGTATTAGTTACCAATTATTATGATTAGTGTTTCCAAATAAAATAGCAACTAACCAATCTGCATGAGTTGTAAAATTAATACGCTAAGTACCTAAACTATCATAATGCTTCTGATAGTTAAACGACTTAGTTTTTATTATCCTAAAGTATATTATTCATGCTCATTAGCTTCTATAAAATATAAGTCATACCTAATTATATATAGCTATAAAAGCTATAAAAGCTGTACGCCTGTACCCAGTAAACGGTACTATAATTCATGTCACCATTCTATTGTCAATAATAAATTAACAACTAATAAACCTACTGCCAATATTACAAATTAGGAATTGGTTGCGTACCTAGATTATGCTTAATAATATTTTAGAAACTAACAACAAGCGATAATTTCATTCCATTTTAGACTTAACCTAAAATTATCAAGACTAATTGAATAAGACCTTTTTAAATAAAATCATTAAACACTACCTAACATATTTTTAACTCTCTCCTTTAACTAGTAGGTTAAATAATTAAAAACTAAAATTAATTTAAAACTTATAAAAATGCACATAGTTAATATCAGAGTTAATACTAATTAAACATTTTAAAATACGCACGAAATCTGTTTAGTATAGAATTTCATACAGGCAATTTTTTCTAAATAATTCGATTTACAAATAAAAATGTTTCTATTTTATTAAATGTATTGTTTAACTGTTACAGCATCTGTACTGTATCTGACTTCTGATTTGGTTGTACAATAATAATTTTCATCAGGCTTGAATAATAATTTTTTCACCCAAATTAAAAATAACAATATTTACTAAGATTTAATAAAATTACCGTTGATGTTTTTTTTGTAGACCAATTATTCATAACTAAAAAGTGCAAAACAAAGGCTTAAGCCTATTTATAAAAACTTATAATAATTAAAATGTATTATTGTAAAGTCCGGAAACACGTTTTTTTTCAATCATACTTAAAATAATTACAATTCTAAACGATAAGCCTTGGAGCTTATTACAAAAGTAAGTACATATTTATATTCTTTTTCATGGCGAGCTAGGAAATAAGTTTAAGTTTAGCTAAAATATTTTTTTCATTTTACCGT